TCACCTTCCAATATTTTGCCGAACTCTGGTGATGCAGGTAATAGTCGCACAACCCCTAATAACGGAACTGATGTAATTCCCAATAATAACATCAATCCTAACAGTACAAGCACCAACCCGGACTCCAGACCTGGTTTTGCTGTCCTGCCCTACATCAAGGAACTGACCCCTAAGCTGATCAGATTGTGCAGTCCTTTGAACTTTCGAATTGCTTGCAAATCCGTCCTCACTATAAACTGCATTTTTTCAAAAATGAAAGACAAAGTCCCGCTGCTTGGCTTAACCAACACAGTCTACTCCATCAATTGCAACAACTGCAACCAAATATACATAGGTCAGACCTCCAGATCTCTTAAAGGAAGGATTACATCACACAAAAGTGATGCTAGGCTTCATCCTGAAAGATGCGCTCTAGCATCTCATGTTAACACAACAGGGCATTCTATGAATTACACAAGTATCAAAGTTCTTGATAAAGAAAAACACCTTTCCAAACGTTTATTCCTGGAAATGTCCCACATTTTCATGAATAACAACTGTATCAACAAAAAGACAGATGTTAAACAACTGAGTGTCATTTACTCATATCTGCTAAACTGCGAAAAATTGGAGAACTTTCATATCTCCCCAAATTTCAACTCTTCACAACCATAATTAGAATCTGTGTTTTGGCCGTTTCCACCAGTAAATTTCATTCCACTCAAAATATAATAATTCTCTCCTCACGATTTATTAATAATTGTTAATTTAAATTCCCATTAATAATAATATAGTCTATTCAACTGCCTCTGGTCGGTTTAACAAATTCTAACATAAAATTCTGAAAATCTCATCATCTGAAGTGATTTGGCAACGTTTTGGCACACGCCCACAATTCGTTCCATCTTTCAATACTGACATTGACATCCTTCGGCCTTCTGTCAAAGGGTTTCATGTCACTCATCATTCCATGACCACTAATTTGTGCAATCATCAAGTGGCTTCACGATGTAATGCTCTAAAAAATTTTTTAAATAATTTTTAATCTGTTTTTAACTTGTTCTTGTCATATTTTATATAAGTTTGACTATTGTACAATCTATCCAGCTCTCACCATGTTACTGGACGTTTCCCTCATCCTATACGTAAACAACAATTAGCAACATCCTCACATACTACTGTAAGTTGAGTCAATTTAAATTCATTTTACACCTTTGTTGCTACTGTTATCATTGTAATTGCAGCTCCTGATGATGATGGCAAAGTCCATTGAAAGCTAGAGAGAATTAAAAAAAAGTATAAAGAGTCCTCTTTGCTTAAATTTTGTCGAAGTACCCAACAAAAGGCGGAAGCTTTAATTTTTTCACCTATATATATATATATATACCTATATATATATTAAGTTATCTTTGAAACAGAAAAAGGAAGATCACAATCGATTTATATGATTGAGAGCTATGAAGCTTTGGACAAATACACATGTGAAACTAATGACACCCTTATTAAGTCCTTGTTCATTATTAGAGCAATCCACGTATCATTAGCTTTGTCGGAAACAATTTGTGAGTTTGTTAGGACTAATGACTTAGGAACAAGACAATGTTTGAGAAGGGGGAACTGAAAAGTAAGAAAGGAGAAAGAAAATAGGAAGATCATCTTTCAAGTTTGAAATTGATACTTTTTTATAGTTAAACAGCTTCAAAAATTGCAGTAAAGCTTGAATATTCACTTTTAGTCCAGGAAGTATGTACCCATCTGCTCGAAAAAGTAAAGCATAACCTTATTCAAAAGGCATCCCTTTCAACGAATCTGCGTGTAAACAGGCCCTAAATTACCGATGCAATTGGCGACCGCGCAGGTTGAGATTCTATAACTGTATGTTGTATCTATCAAGTTTTGACCTGATAGCTTCCACTAATTCGCTATTTACCTGCACAACAGCTGCAGCTGTGGCCGAAGCTGAAGGTGCGCTTCTCTGTAGCTCAGCTTCAAGACCGTTCGCGAACGAGGTCTTTTCAGGACTACTCTGAGCGCTGGACACAGTCGTAAAGGCTGTGGTTGTTTCACTAATTGTAGGTAAAGGACGACCTATTACTGTTACTACTGCTGCTGCAATGCCACCTGAAAAATTAAAAAGAGAATGTCAAACACTAGCTTTATCTGTTACAATGCGATTGAGATATAGTTAATTGCATAGGCGTTTGTGGCGACGCTATGACATCGCATTTCATAAACGAGTAGACTCCAGGTAATAACATTTTCTGGTAGAGTGTTCCATATTTTTGTTCATCTAGCAAGAAAGTGCTCAGAAAAAAATACAGAGAAACGTTCATATACATATACGTTCTAAAATGATGTCTTACCGACGAATAAGGTGTTCAAGTTATAATTTTCAAATCAAAAAAAGTGATTGAGATATTAACTTAAAATTTTGAACATGTAGTAACTAATAGCAGAACCAATACATACAACCATTTTGGTGCCTAAAACTACACCAAGGAAATAATAATATGGAAATTTTGACATATACAAAACAAAAAAGAAAATTACATTTTACACCACTGAATTTTTTGAAACACCTTTGGCATTTTTGAATAAAATATTTAATTCTAAGTGGGTTGCGTCTCTTGATAAATTTGAGGTAAAATCTGTATCGAAACTCAAAAAGGTGAGAGCACTTACACCGTAGATAAGCTTTTGGAATAAAAACATGAGTTCAGCTTAGTTTGAATACTAAGAATGCATACGCTTCTTAAGAAACAATCGCAGATACAGAAGACGATAATCAATGGTATGGCTGAGTTGGATGAGAAGGATAAGTTGGGTAAGTACTTCAAAGGGCCGTCATGGGAATGATAAATTTTACTGAGATGTGGCCAAAAGAGCTACATTTTCCTCCACTGAGTGGCATTAGTTACAGACTGGGGAGGTTTAATAAGTACTTCCTAACTCAGGGAGTACTAAGTACTCACCAAGCTACCAGTTTTTCTGTACTACGCAAAATCTGCATAAACTGAACACAGGCTGAACATGATCTATCTGCTAACCGTCTACACTATATGATACGTATACAACGGTGTTTGATGTTTTTGAGCAATCATCAATATCACCTTACTCAATACTTAGTTCAATTGAATTAATCGATGAGTTAACTGTTTTGAGATGTTCTAATTTCTAGAGCCTTATAGTGTAGAAGTTGAAGAAATAAATTTATTCAATAAATCAATTATTTTTTTTAAATAACATATATATAAGATTAATGATTCAGTAGGAAATAACTTGATCTTAATCTTAGCCAATAGTTTCCATCCTTGTCAAAAATAGATAATTAGCAGATTTTATGAATCTGTAACATCCGCCATCTTCTTCGCCTTAATTTTCGTTTTCATTGGCCTATTTTTTATTTGGTTTTATAGTAAAAATAAGTTATTCCAATTGTTATGGCTGACTTAAATTTGATGTACGTCATGCTTGTCACTTCAGATCACACTGACATACCCTGAAAAGGCTTCAGAATTGAGCATTTGCGCGATAAGAAACCCAATTATTTGATTATTTTTTTATGTGGAGAAACAAAACAAAGGTGCTAAATAAAGAAAAAAAATTATCTCAAATCCAAATCTAAGGTAGGAAGGGTCATACAATCAATGTGATTTCTGACATTGTTTCCCGTGTAATAATTTTTATATGGTAGGTGTCAATTCGATGTCGACAATAACAAGTCACAAATATTTTGCTCAAAAATTGATTAGCGGCATGTATTTTTTACGTAATTAAGGTTTGGAAAACCTTTTCATAATCATAATATATGTTAATCCGAAAAAACCTAAGAATTATAGTACTTGATCATTTATTGCCATAAAGTATCTTTTGGTAGCAATTTACAGAAATCTACAAAATCTGAAGAATTTTGTGGTTGCGAAGACATTTTTTTCGGCACAAATGATTTTTTAGCTCATAGTAATTTTGCAGATATTACGAAAGGATTAACAAAAAGACCCCGCATAAGACATACATAGAAAATGAGTTTCAGTCGATTTGTCAGTATAATTTATATTTCTCGTCTTCCTTAATAAAAGTTCTTCTGGGACCAAAGCAATCCTATGATTAGTTTCTGAGAGATAGGGGGACGAAGTTTGCCGAATTTTAAATATGGTGAATGTGCACATAAAATGGATTTTTAAATTCCTCGAGTAAATGATTCAAGCTTAGCATGTACCGAATCTAGGAGACCTTTATAAAATATACCGTACTCTTATTGATAGATACAGTCTTCCAATTATCATTTATTGTAGGTGCTAATACTGCATTAGCGCTTCAGCTAGCAACAGCGCCGAACCCAAACGTCAATCTATTGTTAGATGAAGTAGTAGGAACTGACTCGTTTAAGCAATAGTCGATAGGCATTATTATAGATGTAAATCTGACGCTTAAGTTCTAGGCATACGCGTTTTTTTATTTTTCTTTTATACCTAAATAGCCGCTCAGGCAGAGAAGTCTAAATGCCAGGACAAGAAAATTTGTTAATCCGATTTTTGAGCTGCCTAGGGCTAGTAGAATTGAGAAAAGCTTCCCCTTGTAAATTGTTCGACAATCTCGACACCCTAGGGACAAAGCAGCGGTCCTATCGACCAGTTCTGGATGTACGAAGTTCGACATGAATAGGATGGAAGGCCAAATTCAGGCGGGTCTGTCTGGCAGACACATTGCGCGGCGGTATCATGGAGGAAATCTCTGAGGAGCAAAGTTTGTTGGTGTAGCGATAGAAGAGAGCTAGATCGCCGACGGCCCGCCGGTGCGAAAGGGTGCCGAGATTGTCTGTTAGAGAAGAGTCATCGATCAGTCGAACAACCGTCCTATAGACAGCATCGAGCATAAGTAATGTAGTCGGGGCGGCAGCACCCCAAACGTGTAAGCAATACTCAAAGCAAGGCTTTATCTGGGCCCTGTATAGACGTAGAAGGTCATGCGGAGCAAAGTACCTCTTAGCCCTAAACAAATAGCCTAGCTTTTTCCCAGTAGCTGCCGCTGTTGACGAGATGTGTTCCTGCCAGATCAAGTTCTCGGCTGTCCATCAAAAACAGATAAGCGCTAGGACGCTTTTTGTTCGTCAAGGTACAGTACTCTGTTAGGGAAGCATTAAATTGTTCAAGATTGTTGCGTCCCTTCCAGGTCTCTCGTCAGAGAGGAAGTCGTCGCTAGTCTTCTTTTTTCCAGCCTGTCGCTAATCAAGCCCAGAAGCTCGCGTTTTCGACACATCTCCATCACCTTACTTATAACAGAAAGCAGCGCTATATGCTTGTAGTTGTAACGGTCGATCTTAGATTCTTTTTCTGGGATGAGTTGGACATGAGCAAATTTCCATTTTTCTGGGAAGGTGCCGGATTAATAAGACATCTGGAACTGCGCACCTCTCCAGTACAATGGCAGGAATCAAGTCCGGACCTGCAGCTTTATTGATATCGACAAAAGCACCGGTTTTACGGTCTTATGCCCGCATGTTACTTCTTGCATAGTGTAGGAAGCTCTTTGAATCGATGGCATTCGGGCGTTGAGGGGACGTCCATGGTGGAGTTAGCAGCAAAGATATTGGCCAGCACTTCCGCCTTAGCCTTTGAGTCGGTTACAATCGTTCCATCCTGACACATCTGCTTGGCCAGCATCCAGAAAGTGCGACAGCCATTGCGACATTACCGTGTGCCTAACTTTTATATCGTGCTGGTCTTTGGCATTGCGAACCGCTTCGTTGTATTTGTTTCTAGACTCGGCGTCGGCTTGTCTGTTCTTTTGCTCTTATATATGGTTATCTATGCCCTTTTCAATATTAAGTTCGTTATCTTCGGAGAAAGTTGACCCAAACCTTTCGATATGCCGGAGGCAGACTAAGACAAAAAAATTCAAATCAGTAGTCAATGAATTACAATATCCTAAAACTATCTACACATTAGTGCGATTTTTCTTTCTCTTTCCCCTTTAAATCCAACATGACTTTGAATTGACGTTGAATTGGTTATAATAATAATAAAAACAACTCAGAAACCACGACTTTACTGTGCTCTTCTGAAGCGAACTGTCCTTGAGGGAATTTTTTTGAATTCCCGAACACTTCGTGCTAGATCCACTTCAATGTTAACTTATAAAAATAAGTCAACCCTTAAATTATACTTATAAGTATCATGGCCACGGTCAACATAACTTCTCGCTATGCCGCTTCCTCAAATGTTTTTAAATGAAATAATTTCTTTAGCATTAACAACTCTCCGAGTATTTAGTCCAAGAACTGCGCTCGGCACATTCACCATTTTTTCAAATAGGACAAACTAAACAGTATTGCTTCGGTCCCATGAGAACTTTTGTATATACAGGGTGTAAACGTTATGATAGTCAATATTTAAATGGGAGATAGAGTGGGTTAAAAGTAGCAGACAGTTTTATATAACATGGGGGTCAAAACGGCATTTTTTAGAGAAAAGTAAAATTAAAATCTGACAACGCCGCAATGCCAGACGCAAATTACGACGGAACGCAGTGTAGATAAAGATGGAGTTTGTTATTTTTGGCTCTTAGGTATTATTTCATTATTTGATAATGTATTCGTAAAATGCAAACAATTAAAAAAAAAAACGGACTTACCACTAACTGTCTCAGCGCTTCACCTGGTGTATGAAGTTTATTGAACGTATTGAAAAAATCCGCTTATAAATAGGGAACACAATTTTGATACATACATTGTTTTTATTTTTAAAACCCACACTGCACTTTTTTTTGTATTTAAATGAGTTGTTCACAATGTCGTCCTCCACTTTCCAGAAAAGCTTCATTACGACGAACCCAGTTTATTCTTACTCTAGGTCCTCGAAGTTGTCCATTTATTATTTCAGCCGCATTAAAATTTTTTTCGCCAAGTTGTGCTTCAGTTGTTATTGGACCAGCTCCACAAACCATCCCTTTAAGTTCTCCCCAATGCCAGAAATCCATCGGAATGAGGTCAGGAGACCTTGTTGGCCACTTTCGAGGATCAGGAGCATTTCGACCGATCCAGCGATTTGGATAATGTTCATTCAAATACAGAATGACGCCTCAAAAAATGTGTGGTGGTGCCCCGTCATCAAGAAACCACA